GCTGTAAGGCATTCTCTGAGAATATTTTTACCTGAAGGTACCTTGTAATATAGTTAACATATATTTTTGGCATTTTTTAAGATCGGGGAAAATATATAAAGTATATATTTATATGAAATAGTTTTATTTTGCAATTCAACTTCTTGCTCTTTATATTTTTGACATTTTAATCATTCTGACCTGTTTGCAAATTTTCATTCTTTAAATCTTTTTATAAACAGATTTCTAACTAAAGATGCAACTTGTGCAAACACGGTGCTAATAATGGCTTTATTACTTGTTCTTATAGCTAATGTTTTATTGTCAGGACTCTACAGATACATCAGAACTAAACAGTTTTACTGAATAAAGCTGCAAATACAAAAGCTTCAAACCAGTAACTTAAATTCAGCTTTTATCATGGTAAATAGAGCTGGAGTTTTAAAAGATCCTATCTTTCTGATGAATAAGAGTCGAGACTTTTTTCAAACAGAAAGTTTGACTTTATTATATATATAAAAAAGAATAATTGTAAAATCCTACAGCTATGTACACATTTATGTACACAGTATGAAACCTGCCACATGGGGTTATATACAGAGGATGGTTCTGGTTCAGGTCCACGACCAGGTGAGGAGAGTTTAACCTGAAGGTGTGCTGCTGCGCTCTGATTGGCTGAAATCAGTTCTTTTACATAGTCTGTCCCTCTGAGACATGTCCAGAGACGTCTCAGAAGTCTGCGTCCAGTCTGAAGGTGTTATCTGTTGGTCCAGACATGACCCCCATCCTCTGGTACTCCCCGACCCGCTTCTCAAAGAAGTTGGTCTTTCCCTCCAGAGAGATGTTCTCCATGAAGTCGAAGGGGTTCTCCACCCGGTAGATCTGCAGGGACAGCACAAACCATGCGTTCAGAGGCTCCTGAAGGCTGAGATCAATCAAACAAGGTGTGTGAGTGGGCGGAGCCTCGGATTCTGTCCTTACCTTAGAGAAGCCGAGCTCCAGCAGCAGCCTGTCGGCCACGAACTCGATGTACTGCTTCATCATGTCACAGTTCATCCCGATCAGCTTCACGGGCAGAGCTTCGGTCAGGAACTCCTGCACACACACAGCTGTCAGTCAAACGCTTAGCCCCGCCCCCATCCATACATGACACTAGACCCACCTGCTCGATCTCCACGGCGTTCCTGACGATCTTGGTGACGGTTTCTGACGACGGCTTGTTCACCAGGTGTTTGAACATCAGACAGGCGAAGTCACAGTGCAGACCCTGAACGCAACACAAACASCTGWTTGAAGCGTCTGCAGAGAACACCTGATATCCAGGTGTGGAGCGGCCTTACCTCGTCTCTGCTGATGAGCTCGTTGCTGAAGGTCAGACCGGGCATCAGGCCTCGCTTCTTCAACCAGAAGATGGAGGCGAACGAACCGGAGAAGAAGATCCCCTCCACAGCAGCGAACGCCACCACCCGCTCTCCTGTGGACCATCATCATCATCACCTGGTTCTACTCTGCAGAACTACTGTGATGTCACAGTGGGCGGGGCTTACCGTAGGTGGCGTTCTTGTTCCCTATCCAGTTGATTGCCCAGTCGGCCTTCTTCTTCACACACGGCAGAGTCTCGATGGCGTTGAACAGGTATTCTCTGAGGGTCATTGAACACATCGTCAGACAGGTCACCAGTACCGGCAGCTAGGGCTGAAACGATTCCTCGAATAATTCAATTATAATAACTCAAATTTCAAAAAGTCAAATTTATCTGCCCCGAAACTTCATAAAAAAAAAAAAAAACCAACACACACTGTTAAAATCAGCGCACTTTTGTCCGCCCAGAATGTTATTTGTGTTACACACAATGCTATGAAGTTAGCGCTTCCGCTAACAGTTATGGTGTGTTCACACCAAACGTGATTTCAACTTCAAAATCACAGCCAACGCTGAAGTTGGACGCTTGTGCACTTTGAGGTCAGACGTAGGTCAGCTCTTGAAGCGCTGCACGGCAACAGCCTCCCCGCCCCTCCCTCCTCTGTCGGGCTCTGTTTAATGTCGGACGAGGAAGTGGCTTTGCTTTACTTACAGAGAGCAAGTTCATCAGATAATTAATTCATAATTAATTCACCAGATAATTCAGAGTAGAGGCTCACAGCTCGCTTTCAGGACTATTTTTCCAGTCTGATGAGTCGCTGCAGGCACTCGATTTCAGCTAAAGAGCTCCTCTCC